GTTTGGAAACCAGGTGGATCATTTTCTTGGGTCACTGGCTTTGGCTAAAACGCTGAACCGAACACTCGCGGTTCCGCCGTCACCCGCCACCTTTTCAAAATGTAAACACAGCAGCTGTCAGTCACTGCTTTGATAGCACATGTGCCCTGCCCTGCACCCGGTTAGGAAAGCCAACTTAAGCTGATAGTGTTTTGGAACAAGGTAGCTGGTCCTTTAGTATTATTTATTTACTATTCTAATATTTTGAATGATCTTTTATTTTTAGATTTTAGTTCAAGTTTTAGTAGTTTTGTTACTTGCTTTTGTCGTTTAAATTTTTTAATAAATACTATTTCTGTTCTGCTTTATTTTTATTTCGCTCTATATTAGAGTAATTTTAATACTTAAGCTTATTTTGTTAGCATTTCTAATTTGTGTTATTTACTGAAGTTTTCCAATCCAGTCTTCCAATCATATTATATTTAATTTCAGCTTTATTTCAGTCGACAAAAATGATTTGCAATCATTTTAGTTAAGAATAACAACATTGGGCCAAGTTGGTCATTTAGCTGGCCCTAACCACTGTTACATATATTATAGTATTTATTAATAGTTTGATTAAGCTTTTATTTTTAACTTTAGTTTTCATTTTAATTTTAGTTTACGTTTTTGTAATTTTGTCATTTTTTAATTTAATTTAATTTTAGTTTGTTCCCAAGGTAATTTTTCTAATTTTCAGTTTTTTCTTTAAGTGTAGGTGTTTCATCTAATATTTATATTCATGTTTCAGTTTTATAAAAAAAAAAAAACCTTTGGCTGGTTCATGTTGGTCATTAGATAATCCATACTTATAAATTATTCCAAGCTGGTAGGCCATCAGCTGCCAGCTGGTTCTGAAACATAGTGGCTGTTCAACCATCTAATGACTGGCTGTCACACTAGTAGATCAATAGGAGAAAGTACAATTTATTGATAATGTATAGTATGCTTCTGTGTTTCTCTGTAACAGGTGCATGTCCCTTACAGTGAGTATTTCCAGTTGGAGCCAGTGAAGCAGTACCACCGTGTGGTGAGTCTAGAGGACTTCATGGACCACTTGGCTCCTAAACACTGGCCTGGTCAGAGAGTGGCCTACTGCTTTGAGTCTGCAGCTCACAGGAGCATGGACAAAAAGAGCTGTCCGATGAAGGTAATATGGATGTTCATTCTTCAAGGTGCACTTCATTTCTGTCTTTTTACTAGACCTTCAGAATCCGAAGTTCTCTGTACAGCTGCATCTCAAATATTTTTTCTAATGTATTATACTTTGGAAACACTGCCATCTATTGGACTTTTTGCAGATGTTAATTTTCTTTCATACAATAAAAGCATCATGCATTCTTAAATATTCATGACAGTGCGCTTGTAATGCAGCCTGTTGATTCTCATGCAGGACGGAAATCCTTTTGGTCTGTTTTGGGACCATATTGGAGTTCATTTCGATCGCTCTGTTCTTTTCGGAGGACTGTCATTCAGCTCCTACTACCAGCCGCACTGGATAAAGAAGTAAAGTTGAGCTGAAACACTCACATAAATATAAATTATTGCACTCAGACTCCCTCCACTTTACTTTTCTCACTCTCAAACTCTGTGCTTCTCTTTTTCTCCAGGTTTCCCCCAAAAGAGCATCCAGCTCTCGCTCTTCCAGGAGCCCCAGCACAGTTCCCTGTAATGGAGGAGCACACTGGACTGCAGGAGTATGTGGTGTGGTCTGAAAACATGGTACAGGAAGGAGAAGGTCACATCAGAAGTCTGCTAAACAGACCTTACGTGGGAATTCATCTGAGGATCGGCTCAGATTGGGTGAGCTTTGTGTGTCCTGATGTGAATGGTTTCTCATAGTTCAGATCCAAATGGACATTTCTAGAACTTTTATCTGATGTGCATCTTATAATACCACTCAACATTTATTTTAGAGTGAAATTAATGCATTTACATTTATGGATTTAGCAGACATATTTATCCAAATCAAACAAAGTTATTTATTAATTAACAATGCATTAAATTGATCAAAAGTGACCGTAAAGAGTGACATTAAAGACTTTTATAATGTTACAGAAGATTTATTTCAAATACATGCTGATGTTTTGAACTTTGAAAGCCAAAATTGAGCTTTAACATCACAGGAACAAATTGCATTTGAAAATATATTAAAACAGACATTTTAAATATTTCACAATATTTCTACTTTCATTTGCGTTCAAATAAATGCAGTTTTGATGAGCATAAGAGACTTAAGAAAAGAGATTTTATAAGAACATTCATTAAAAAATTGCACTGACACCAAATTTTTGAATGGTAGTGTATATAGTTGTTATCTTTCTGTATGTAAATGATTTATCCTGTTTATCTATCTGTTATTTGTGAATAAATATTTATTAATTTATATTAATTTTATTAATATATATTTAAATTAATTATTTACATATATACAGTGGGTACGGAAAGTATTCAGACCCCCTTAAATTTTTCACTCTGTTATATTGCAGCCATTTGCTAAAATCATTTAAGTTAATTTTTTTCCCTCATTAATGTACACACAGCACCCCATATTGACAGAAAAACACAGAATTGTTGACATTTTTGCAGATTTATTAAAAAAGAAAAACTAGTCAGCTACCAATTGTGCAAGTTCTCCCACTTAAAAAGATGAGAGAGGCCTGTAATTTTCATCATAGGTATACCTCAGCTATGAGAGACAAAATGAGAAAAAAAGTCTAGAAAATCACATTGTAGGATTTTTAAAGAATTAATTGGTAAATTCCTCTGTAAAATAAGTATTTGGTCACCTACAAACAAGCAAGATTTCTGGCTCTCACAGACCTGTAACTTCTTCTTTAAGAGGCTCCTCTGTCCTCCACTGGTTACCTGTATTAATGGCATCTGTTTGAACTCGTTGTCAGTATAAAAGACACCTGTCCACAACCTCAAACAGTCACACTCCAAACTCCACCATGGCCAAGACCAAAGAGCTGTCAAAGGACACCAGAAACAAAATTGTAGACTTGCACCAGGCTGGGAAGACTGAATCTTCAATAGGTAAGCAGCTTGGTGTGAATAAATCAACTGTGGGAGCAATTATTAGAAAATGGAAGACATACAAGACCACTGATAATCTCCCTCGATCTGGGGCTCCATGCAAGATCTCACCCCGTGGGGTCAAAATGCTCACAAGAACTGTGAGCAAAAATCCCAGAACCACACGGGGGGACCTAGTGAATGACCTGCAGAGAGCTGGGACCAAAGTAACAAAGGCTACATCAGTAACACACTGCGCTGCCAGGGACTCAAATCCTGCAGTGCCAGATGTGTCCCCCTGCTTAAGCCAGTACATGTCCAGGCCCGTCTGAAGTTTGCTGGAGAGCATTTGGATGATCCAGAAGAGGATTGGGAGAATGTCATATGGTCAGATGAAACCAAAATATAACTTTTTGGTAAAAACTCAACTTGTCGTGTTTGGAGGAGAAAGAATGCTGAGTTGCATCCAAAGAACACCATACCTACTGTGAAGCATGGGGGTGGAAACATCATGCTTTGGGGCTGTTTTTCTGCAAAGGGACCAGGACGACTGATCTGTGTAAACGAAAGAATGAATGGGGCCATGTATCGTGAGATTTTGAGTGAAAACCTCCTTCCATCAGCAAGGGCATTGAAGATGAAATGTGGCTGGGTCTTTCAGCATGACAATGATCCCAAACACACCGCCCGGGCAACGAAGGAGTGGCTTCGTAAGAAGCATTTTAAGGTCCTGGAGTGGCCTAGCCAGTCTCCAGATCTCAACCCCATAGAAAATCTTTGGCGGGAGTTGAAAATCCGTGTTGCCCAGTGACAGCCCCAAAACATTACTGCTCTTGAGGAATGGGCCAAAATACCAGCAACCGTGTGTGAAAACCTTGTGAAGACTTACAGAAAATGTTTGACCTCTGTCATTGCCAACAAAGGGTATATAACAAAGTATTGAGATGAAATTTTGTTATTGACCAAATACTTATTTTCCACCATAATTTGCAAATAAATTCTTTAAAAATCCTACAATGTGATTTTCTGGATTTTTTTTCTCATTTTGTCTCTCATAGTTGAGGTATACCTATGATGAAAATTACAGGCCTCTCTCATCTTTTTAAGTGGGAGAACTTGCACAATTGGTGGCTGACTAAATACTTTTTTGCCCCACTGTATATATATATATATTTTTTTTTTTTACTTGATATAACTTTGTTATTGTCTTAAAATAGTTTTGGATGCTGACATGGCATAAAAACATATAAATGAACAGATCGAACTGGATATGATATAAAAGCAATACAGTAAATGATGTGATCTCATCACAAAATTCGTTCTCCAAAGGTATATGTGAATTAATGTGTGCGATTGTATTAGATTTCTGAAGTACCAGTATAACAAGTGCGGAATTGTAGGCCTGATTTGGCTTGAATTGGATGATATGCGTCATATCCTCTTAACGATTATTAGTATTCCACACAGCAAAATGCCTGCAAGCTTCTGAAGTCAGGTGATACTGGTCCTCACTTCATGGCGTCTCCACAGTGTGTGGGATACGACTGTCGAACTGCCCTGCCGCTGACCATGACCATGTGTTTACCAGATCTGTCTGAGATCTGTCGTGCTGTGAAGCTCTGGGTGAAGAACATCAACGCTCAGTCAGTTTACATAGCCACCGACTCTGAATTGCACACCGCAGAGATTCAGAAACTCTTCAAGGGCAAGGTGAGGATTAACATTTTAACATTACAGATGTGTAAACCTGATTTAGTAAACAGAATATAAAGGTGATGATGCATTTTTTGCAGGTGAAGGTCGTGAGCTTGCAACCGGACACTGCTCAAATTGACCTGTATATCCTCGGCCAGGCCGACCACTTCATCGGCAACTGCGTTTCGTCCTTCTCAGCCTTTGTTAAAAGGGAGAGAGATGTTCACGGGAGACCCTCTTCATTCTTTGGGATGGACTACTAATGCCTGCAAGCTTCTGAAGTCAGGTGATACTGGTCCTCACTTCATGGCGTCTCCACAGTGTGTGGGATACGACTGTCGAACTGCCCTGCCGCTGACCATGACCATGTGTTTACCAGATCTGTCTGAGATCTGTCGTGCTGTGAAGCTCTGGGTGAAGAACATCAACGCTCAGTCAGTTTACATAGCCACCGACTCTGAATTGCACACCGCAGAGATTCAGAAACTCTTCAAGGGCAAGGTGAGGATTAACATTTTAACATTACAGATGTGTAAACCTGATTTAGTAAACAGAATATAAAGGTGATGATGCATTTTTTGCAGGTGAAGGTCGTGAGCTTGCAACCGGACACTGCTCAAATTGACCTGTATATCCTCGGCCAGGCCGACCACTTCATCGGCAACTGCGTTTCGTCCTTCTCAGCCTTTGTTTAAAAGGGAGAGAGATGTTCACGGGAGACCCTCGTCATTCTTTGAGATGGACTACCCAGGAAAAAGGAAAGGAAAAGAGGAACTCTAATGAAATGGAGATGTTATGTTTTTGTAACTGTGAAGGCTGGTTGAAGTTTTACATGCTTCAGGTGTATGGTTACATTTTGAACAAGAACATTTGGATATAGGCTTTAAGTAATTAAATGAAGGGAGAACAAGAAAGTTCATTCCATTTCTTTGGATGCTGCATTTCTCCCATGTTGCACTACTACATTTACTGTGAGAGCAACCATGATATCTTTATATCATTGATATTTTTGTACTACTGGCTCATTTGCATTTTTTGAGGATGTAAAAACGGCCCCCTGTGAGGTTTTAGTGATTAGAGACAAGTCAGAATTAGTCAAGTAATAGTGGTTGGAAATTGCACTTTTTATGGTTGAAGGCCATTTAAGACCTCCAGAGGCATTCAGATGTGCAGTGCTTTAGTGGTTGCTGAAAATGAACAAATGTGTCACTGTATGAAAAGAATGTACGTCACAGACTTTCTGATGTCTTATAGTAATGCAAGGTAACGTTGTTTTTGAAAGTCAGTGTGAAACCAAATAGCAGAAATGTTTTATAAATGTTTTAAGATGTACATATTAGTTTTGTACCACTTTAAATGACATTCCTCAAGTTAGTTTTCAATAAAAAAATAGAACTAGCAGTATTTTGTGCATTTATGTCCTTTGGTTTTATGATCTATTTAAAAGGCTTTCTTTTAAAATTTAAATCAAAGGAGTACATAATGCATTTATAATCTTTGCACAAAAAAATGCAGCAAGAATGAATGAATAAATAAAAATCACAATTTCCACTGAAATGCAATGGTTACTGCACTGCAATTAAAAATTTTGGAGTGGGTAAGATTTTTTTTAATGTTTTTGAAAAGTCTCTTGTGCTCATTAAGGCTACATTTATTTGATAAAAATAAAACAGAAATATTACAATTTCAAATAACTAATTTCTATGTTAATTTATTTTAAAATGTAATCTATTTCTGTGATGCAAAGCTGAATTTTCAGCAGCCATGACTTCAGTGTCACATGATCCTGCCGAAATCATTCTAATGCTGATTTTCTGCTCAAGAAACATTTCTTATTATCAATGTTGAAAACAGTTGAACTGCTTAATATTTTTTTTGTAGAAACCATAATTTATTTTGAATCAAGTTTCAATGGAAACATTTGTTAGAAATGTTTTGTAACATAAATGCCTTTATTATTACCTTTGATACTTTTAAAGCATCCTTGCTAAGTAAAAGTATTAATTTCTTTCAAAAATAAATGAATAAAATGAACTGTTTATTGTTTTTGCAATAAATCTGTGTATGGAGTGGTTTAAATTTGTCAGTTTGAAGTGTTATTTATTTACATTTTTACTTTTTAATCAATAATACCATTAATAAAATAAAACCAGTAATTCCATAATTTTACTATTAGCGGTAATTTGTTGCTATTCCATTGTTGTAATAACAAAACATACAAACTACATACACATCTATAGTGCCCATTTGCAGCAGATCCATCCCGGCCTGCAGGGGGATCACACTTGTACGTTTGGTGCTGATTTTTACGCCACATTTACTTTCAGTGTACATTGATTTGATAAGGTCATAGGTTTTACCTCCTATGCCACTTTCAATAAGTTTGTAGAATAGTCCTTGAAATAGCTCTCTCTCTCTCTCTCCCTTGCTCTCGCTCTCTCTCCCTCTCTCTCTCTCCCTCGCTCGCTCTCTCTCCTTCTCTCTCTCCCTCTCCCTCTCTCCCTCTCTCTCTCTCTCGCTCTCCCTCTCTCTCTCTCCCTCTCTCTCTCGCTCCCTCTGTCTCTCTCTCTCTCTCGCTCTCTCCCTCTCTCTCGCTCTCGCTCTCTCTCTCTCTCTCTCTCCCTCTCTCTCTCTCCCTCTCTCTCCCTCTCTCTCTCTCTCGCTCGCTCTCCCCTCTCCCTCCCTCTCTCGTTCTCTGCCAGTGTAGAATCGGGACAGTAGTCTCTATCAGGAACTG